AAATGGAAAAGAAAACTACAGAATGGAAGAAAGTATTCGCAAACCACATATCCAATAAGGGGTTAATATCCCAAAAACACAAAAACAGCTACAACTCAGTGGCAAAAAGGGAAATAACTCAATTTTAAAATGGGAAAAGGACCTGAATAGATATTTTTCAGAAGACATACCAATGACCAACAGGTGCATTAAAAAGTGCTCAGTGTCACTAATCATCAGGGAGATGCAAATCAAAACCACAATTAAATATCACCTCACATCTATTAGGATAGCTATTTAAAAAAAAAAAAAGATAACATGCTGGCAAAGATGTGGAGAAAAGGGAACACTTGTACACTGTTGTTGAGAATGTAAACTGCTACAGTCACCATGGAAAACAGTATGGAGATTTCTCAGGGAATTAAAAATAAAAATACGGAGGTGCCTGCCTGACTCAGTCAGTAGACAGTGCATTTCTCGATCGCGGAGTGGTAAGTTCGAGCTCAACATGGGTGTAGAAATTACTTAAAAATAAACATATTTTTTAACAAAAAATAAAAATACATATGATCCAGCAATCCCTCCTCGGGATATATATTCAAGAGAAACCAAACTATTATCTCAAAGAGATGTCTGTACTTCAATGTTCTTTGCAGCATTAATCACAATAACCAAGATATGGAACAAACTAAGTGTCAAGAGATGAATGGATCAAGAAAATATGGTGTCTATTACATACAATGGAATATTATTCAGCTTTTTAGAAAAAGGAAATCCTGTCATTTGTGACAACATGGACAAATCTGGAGGGCATTATGCTAAGTGAAATAAGCCAGACAGAGAAAGGCAAATACTGCATGGTATGGCTTATATGTGGAATCTTAAAAAAAATTAATTAATTAATTGATTAATTAATTAAGTCAAACTCATAGAAACAGAATAGAAAAGTGGTCACCAGGGGTGAGGTGTAGGGGAAAGAGGGAGAGTTTGGAAAAAGGTAAAAGCTTTCGGTTATAAGATGAATAAAGTCTGAGGATCTAATGTATAGCATGGTGACTATAGCTGGTAACACTATAGTGTATAATTGAAATGTGCTAAAAGAGTAGAACTTAAAGTGTTCTCACCACCCAAAAAATATTTATAAGGGTAAATATGTGAGGCGATGAATTAATTAATGTGATGGTGGCCGGGGGGGGGGAACCTTTCACAGCATACATGTATATGAAATCATCACATGGCATACCTTAAATATTTTACAATTTTGTCAATTATACCTCAATAAAGTTGAAAAAATAGTTTTCTCTTATTTTTAGTTCAAAAAAAACCAGGTATGCGGGAAGCATAAAGTCACATCTCCACAGAAGAAATTGCTGATTCTAGGAATCACACTAAAAGCAAATTTTGAAGGTCTCAAAATTCCACGAGCACCTTCTGGGCTAGCCCGGTTTCAACTAGGTTCCTTCCATCAAGTCCTCTTGGACTCTGGGCACCTTCTATTCTCCCTGGCGTGAGAAACTGATCCACCAGTCCATTTTCTTCTGACCAAAGTGTGACCATTGACCTGCTTTTATTTTTTTTTAATTTTTTTTAATGTTTATTTATTTTTG